GCCTTAACATATTTCAATTTCTTTATAGTTGGTCTCCCAGTTATTATTAACACTGAAAATGAGACACGGTGACCTGCCTTGCACAGTAACCTGCCCTGAAAATGGGTAATTTACTCAGAAAATATGAGTCCTGTGCCCACTTGATTTTCAGTTAAAAGCAAACAAGATATCCTCAGATCTCCCATCTCCCCTCCCAACACAAGCAAGGCCTTGTTACCATCCCCTCCAGTGACCAGCAGAATTCGAACCCATGGCACAAAAGTCAGCAGAAGTGCATTTATAGCCTGAGGTCCCAGCAGTAGCCCAGTCTGAGAAGAAATCTGAAACATAAAGACCCTAGAAGACACAGAACAAATCACATGCAAATACCAGATGTGGGTGGGTGGAGAGTCTCATGGATTGAAGATCACGTATTTGCCACATTTCCACTCAGGGAGTTGCCCAAGAATTCAGGCGTGGAACAGCCACGGACACACAGCTCTCCCTCGTCTCCCTGCGGCGGTGAGTGCCGGCTGCCGGCCTTCCTCCGTGGACGCTGCTGGCTGGTGCCAGGCCCGCTGCCCTTGAGGGGTTAGCAGCCACAGCCGGGCTGCGGCGGGGGAGGCGTCTCCTTGAGCCTCGCGCTCTGCTTCGCAGCGGTGGCGGCCTGCTCAGTGTCTAGACTCTCTGACATTTTGTCACAGATGACGTCCACCAGGCGCTCGAAGGTCTGCTTGACGTTAATGTTGTCCTTGGCGCTTGTTTCAAAAAACTCAAACCCTGCAAGGAACACAGGAAGCAGAGCCTGGTCATTCTGCCAGAACAGAAGGGACTTGGGTGTGGTTAGGGCGGGGACGGTGGCACAGGGCAGGGGTCTGGGGGGAGGCATGCGTTGCCTTTTCCACAAACCCTGGGCTCGGTGATGCTCGGGCGCTTTTTCTCTATGATTCACCTGTGCTCCCAGCGAGGCTGCACAGACTGAAGGAGCCCTTGGCCAGGTCAGGAGCCAACACTCAGGATCCTCAACACAGGGTTTATCTTTCCTTCCTCCCAACCCTGGCCACCGTGGAACCTCGTGAAATCTTTTCTAGCACAGATGTTATTTGGCATTTTCTTCTTTCCCCATTTTGGATCCTACCAAAATAATTAATTTTCATAGTTTTCCATTAATTCAAAGCTTAGATTTCCTGTGCAGAGTCTGCTGCACCAACTTGGTCCAGCTCTCAGTCTATGTCCCCAATGGAGGGTTGGAGGGGGACTTGGTGAATGGCCACCAGGGGGCGCCACCGTGTCACTGAGTTCCCTGGAGCTGCTGTGCCTCCTGCAGGAAAAGCTTGAGTGGGATTAGCCTAACAGCCCTCCAGGGCTTTCAGCTCGGCCATCTATCAGCAGGAAGGACCCTGAGAAATGTCAAATGAGCTGCTAGAATGGCAAGTATAAAAATGCAGTGAGTGTCACACTTCTAGGATGTGTGATGGTACCTGGGCCCAGGCGGCTTTGCATGCTGCTCCGACACAAGCTAATCTCTCCATTCATGCCCTTCACCCCCCCTTCTGCCCTGAGCTTGCCAATGAGTTGCCATGGACTGCTCTGGTCCATTGGGGGTCATTGATCTAGGGTGTACTGGGTTGAACACAGAAACACTTTCCTAATCTAGTCTGCATTTTACCCTATAAATCCTTGGTTACATCTGGCCCCATCTCAGAGGAGCCACGGATTCAGAATGATTAAATCCCGTGGTTTCACCCCAGCTCCTTGGGCCAAGGACAAAGAATGGACTAACATTTTACATCCATGTCAAAATCCCTCTAGCGCCTCAGAACCACTTACTTCTTAAATAGTATCGAAGGGTAGAGAACAAAAAGCCATTCTCATGTGTTAGAATGTCTAACTTGGTGATAATACTGTATAGTCAGATGGCTCATCTGAGCTTGAACCGCACTGGCTACTCTGTGTCCACGATTAACGTCTCTGTGACTAACGGCAGGACTTGAGCTGAAGAACCCTGAGTAGAGCCAGGGTCTGTGAGACAGGGGTGGACACCTCAAACCCTCCTTGGCTAGTGTTTCTCTTTACATTCTGCATTTCTTTACAGCGAGAGTGGGAAGAGTTCTCTTCTGTCTGTGCAGCCCACAGGGCCCGGTGGTCCACGTGTCAGGTGTAGAGATGGCAGGTGGACTGGCCTTCGTGGGGGTTCCCAGTGCTCACGGGGCTGCTTCCTGTCACAGATGCCAGGACCCACTCAGGAAGCCAGAGTCCCTGCCTGAGACTTTGGAGAAAACGATCCCTCAATTCAGCTTAGCTGCTGGTCCAATTCTCTCATCTCTTCTGCCCACACGTCCTTTCTTATCGGCCTGACTCCGGAGGCACTGACCCCAGTGGCATCGGAAGGATTTGGCCATTAGGACAGCCCGACACCGCACAGCCTTAGTCCGATGTGACTGCTTTCATCTGCTGCAGGTGCACTTTCAGGTCAACAAAAGGGTCCTTGGCCCACCAGGCAGAGCTCTCAGTGCCTTGACCTAATCTAACCTGGAACCCAGGTGGTGAGGAGGAGGTGTCCCAGGTGGAGACACCCAGGTAGAGAATGCCGTATGGTAACAGCCCTGCATGTATCCAGCCTGGCTGGAGGGGGTCACCCCATGACACGGTCTGAGGGTTGGATTATCAGGCCTGTGCTGTTCGAGGGTCAACTGTAAAAAGCTCTGAAAAGCAGGCTTCCTCTCACTAACCAGAGATGCTATTTGTCATAAAATTGCAGGCTTCCTCTCACTAACCAGAGATGCTATTTGTCATAAAATTGGATATTCAGGATAAAAACCAACACTACTGTTACTTCAGCTTGTAGCTGGATTCAGGGCAACTGTGTGTGAAACTGTGCAATAACTCCTCCTCCTCCAGGTGAAATCTGTGCCTCAGTCAATCCCCGTGTGTCAGGCCACTCACACCCACACCTGTGTGCCCGGGTGTACACCTCAGCCTCTCCTCTCAGTCACGTGATGGATGTTACCTCCCAATCCAATGGCCTTGTTCTTAGAAACCTGTAACTTCCCAGCCACATACACCAGCATCATGGGAAACCAGCACTTCAGTCGATGATGATCAGGAAACAGAGACTTTTTTAAATATATTTTTATTGATTTCAGAGAGGAAAGGAGAGGGAGAGAGAGATAGAAACATCAATGATGAGAGAATCATGGATCGGGTGCCTCCTGCACGCCCCCTACTGGGGATCGAGCCCACAACCCAAGCATGTGCCCTTGAGCGGAATCGAACCTGGGACCCTTCAGTCCGCAGGCCGACACTCTATCCACTGAGCCAAACCAGCCAGGGCCAGAGACTTTTCTATAAAACTTTGAAGAGCCCAGCTGGTGTGGCTCAGCTGGTTGAGCGTGGACCCGGGCACTAGGAGGTCGCTGGTTCTGTGCCGGGTCAGGGCTACATGCTCGGGTTTCCGGCTCAATCCCCAGTAGGGGCCGTGCAGGAGGCAGCCAATCAATGTTTCTCTCATCAATGTTTCTATCTCTCTCTCCCTCTCCCTTCCTCTGTCTCTAAAAATCAATAAAAAACATTTGTAAAATCCATTGCATTTCTATACACCAATAATGAACTATCAGAAAGATAAATTAAGAAAACAATCCTATTTACTGTGGCATGAAGAAGACTAAACTACCTAGGAATAAATTTAACCAGGAGGTGAAAGACCTGTACACTGAAAAGTGTAAGATAACGCAGTTTAAAGAAGATAACTCTTAAAGAAGATACAAATAAATGGAAAGAGATTTTATGCTCATGGATTAGAAGAATTAAAATGTCCATACTACTACCCAAAGCAATCTACAGATTTAATGCAATTCCTATTTTAAAAATACAATGGCATTATTCACAAAAATAGAACAAACGATCCTACAATTTGTATAGAGCCACAAAAAGACCCTGAATCGCCAAAGCAACCCTGAGCAAGAACAACAAAGCTGGAAGAATCACACTCCATGAATTCACACTATTTTACAAAGCCATAGTCATCAAAATAGCATGATACTGGCATAAGAACAGATCCATAAATCAATGAAACAAAATAGAGAACCCAAAAATAAACCTCTTCCTACACAGTCCACTCCTTTATGACAAAGGAGCCGGGAATCACAGAACACGTCCCCGTAAGTGATGCTGGGGGAACGGGACGCCATTCCAGAGAGTGGGACGGGAACGCTACCTTAGCCCACGGAGACAGGAGCTCAACATGGATGACATGACTGTGAGACCCACACCCTGACACCCTGGAGGGTAGTGTGTATTATGGGGGGTAGTGTGGGGAAGCTCCTTGACATTGGCCTTGAAGATGATTGGGTTTGACACTAGAATGAAACACAATAAAAGCAAGAACAAAAAACCAACAAAATCTAAACAGTAATAACAACAACAAAACAAGTGGGATGACATCAAACTAAAAAGCTTCTGCACAGCAAGAGAAATAATAAAATGAAAAAGCAATCTACTGAATGGAGGCAAATATTTCCAAATATACCTGATAAGGGTTTAATATTCAAAATATGTAAAGAGCCCATACAACTCAATAGCACAGCTAGGACCTCGTGGCGCAATGGTAGCGCGTCTGACTCCAAAGAGGACACAGAGATGGCCAGTAGGTCCAGGAAAGATGCTCAAAGCCCCTGGTCACCGGGAAATGCAAGTCAAGCCACAGGGGATGCTGCCTCACGGTCAGGACAGGCGGTGAGCACCACATAACGGACAAGTAGGAAGTGTCGTGAGGATGTGGGGACGGGAGCCCTTGTGCAGAGCCCGTTTCTCGTGGAGTAAGAACGGGGGCCCCGTCCTGGGTCACAGTTGGGCAGCCCAGTTTGCTTCTGTGAGGGGCTTGGATCCTCAAGATGCCCGAGTGTGGGGGGACCCACTCGCCCTGGAGAGTGTACGGGTTCCCATGGCCGGGCTGACCATCTCCCCCAGCCCATCCCCCCACGCAGCTGGCCTCGGGGCTGCCGGCTCCCCTCCTCGTCCGGTGCCACTTACCAAGCTGTTCCCCCAAACGCCGGCCCCTCTCCACCGAGACGACACGCTCATCCTCCATGTCACACTTGTTCCCCACCAGGATCACCTGGGCGTTATCCCAAGAGTAGGTTTTGATCTGAGTTGACCTAAAAGAAAAGGAACAGGCAAAAAGTGATCAGAAGACAGTGGAACAGCACAAAATGAAGGAGGAGAAATACATCCCACACGTGATGGTAACAGCAAAAAAGGCCCAAATTTGGAATTACTTGGTCCAGTAAAATATCACCCATCAGTACTCGTCAGGGATAACAAGTCGAAAATGAAAGTACCAACCTGGCCAGCGTGGCTCAGTGGTTGAGCATCGACCTATGAACCAGGAGGTCAGGGTTCGATTCCTGGTCAGGGCACATGCCCAGGTTGCGGGTTCGATCCCCAGTGCGGGGCGTGCAGGAGGCAACCCATCAATGATTCTCTCTCATTATTGATGGTTCTATTTCTCTCTCTCACTCCCCTCCTCTCTGAAATCAATAAAAACGTGTTTTTAAAAATGAAAGTACCAAAGGTGCTGTGTGCAGGATTCCTCTGCACTTGATGAGCTGACATTACGACGATTCCTCCCTTTTCCCACACCCACCTTCACAGCTGGAGTGCCCACTGGCCCCATGTGCCCAGACAGTCTCTGCTTTAGGAGAAAAAGTCTGTTTTAGAAGAAAAAGTCGCATTTTCTGAGAAACCCCTCAGTTCCAGGAAATCCATCACACACAACCTGTCAACTGGGCCTAGGAATGGGGAGTTAATGGTAATTTTTAAAATGATTTATAAGAACTAATAGTCATTTTTAAGATAAAAATGCCAGGTTGATCAATATCAAAATTAGAGTACAATGGGCTGGTGCTTTAACTGACTATAAACGGGGAAACCTAGAATTCAGAATAAATTTCCATGTGACACTTTCGATTTTAACTTGGATAATAATTCCAACAGGCAATATTTGCAGGTGCTACTCTAACCATTTATATTCGTTACATTAATTAACCCTGAGAGTAACTCAGGGGGAGAGGGTCCAACCCCCACTTCACAGCTGAGGAAAGTGAGTCCTGGGGTGGTGAACCATTTGTCCGCGATCACTCGGGTGAGAGGCAGGCCCGCAGCCCCAGACGCCCCGCACCGCTGGTCACAGGTGGGCAGGGGGTTCCGCAGACCTTCAGAGCTCGGTGTCACAGGAGCAGGTCTTCAATCTCCCTTTGTGAGGGTGGAGACCTTGTCAAGGACAAGACTCAGGTGGGAGACGTACCTCGCACTAAGTGGTCAGGAGAGAGTGGACACGTCGAAAAGCAAAATACTTGATGAAAGTTTACAGGAAAAGATCTGCAAAGTGCGAAGAAGGGAAGCTCGCGTGTGTCCTTACCAGCAAGTTCCAGACCCTTCGGGATTATTACACGGAAAATAGTGATGAGCTCCCTCAACTTGCAAAGAGAAGAAAAGCAAACAGCTCCGGCCGCGGAGGGAGGCGCACCAGGAAGGGGCGCGCGGGGCGGGCAGGTGTGACTCGGCACCGGACCCAGCGCAGCTTTCAGATGAGATGGAACCGTCCGGTGAATGTGACCGTGGCTCCATCTCAGGGGGCACCAGGTTTTATCAGGACAATCCGGGGACGTGAGCTTCCTAATTCTGGTGCCTGAGGTAACACACCCCTTTAGCGACAGCGAGACACAGCGCATGCCCATAGCCAGGAGCAGAGGCAGCGATCTAAACGGTGCTTTCCTCTCGCCTCTGCTGTGCGGGTCCATGAAAACGGTGGATTGCGGTGAACTAAGGTGTAAAATAGATCCTGCACACGGAGAGACCTGAACTGCAAGTGCTCACATCGTGTGACCAAGGAATCCCACAGGTTCCTTCCAGGAGCTCAGACTGAAATGGGTGCCTCGGGGATGTTTAAGTCGCCCCCCTGCTCCCGTGTGTCTTCGGAGCCACGGCCAGGCCTGGTGCAGGGGGGCCTGGGCATCCCCGATTCCCAGAGGTCACACAGCAGGGGCCACCGCCCGAGGGCAGTCACCTGCGTGAGGAGGGGTGGCCAAGGTCAGGGAGAGGCTTTCCGGGTTGGAGGACCCGTGCTTGTGCGACCGGCCTCCTCTGACCTCGGCAAACCCACCCCACGCTGGTGTGTCGACACAACTCTCACCAGAGTCGTGGGGTGCTCACTTCTCAGCGCCTCGGGGTCTGGGCTCCACAGGACTGCCCAGCCCCTCCCCCCGGGAAGGGGTGAAGACGTGCTCAGCCTGTGAGAAACCAACGCGCAGCGACGGACGTCAGCCTGTGTTCCTCGGCCTCCGGGCTTCACAGCGAGGCTCCCACCAACGGGGCTGCAGTGGGCTCAGGAGGTCACCCCGACTTCCTGACTCGCAAGCATCTCTTCACAAACAGAGTCTCAGTCCCAGGTGAGGCCATTCTTCCTCCCAAACCAGCTCGACGCATCCTGACCCCTATCATCTCAATAACGATGGGTTTTTTCACTAGAGAATCTCACACTTTGTCTCCCGTTCAGATCCTGAGACTGAAGTCCTTCCCAGGAAAATCTCTGCCCGGAGTGAACGGTGTGCCTGTTGGGATGGGCGCGGGTCCTTCTCCCCTCGTGTTTCCACGTGTTCACTGTTTGGATCATTGCTGTATTTTGTAAAACGACCCTGCGTGGGGGGTGCTTTCTATCCCACTAGGGACCACCTTACTTCTTTGTTGGACACGGACACACGTGTACAGAACGTGGCTGCCACCACTTACTGTGCGTGTGAAACGATGATTTATTTCCCAGTCGCTGCAGCAGCTCCTTTGGGATTTACTTTAAACTCAACAAGATTAATGGGATCAGAAGCAAGATGCTGGTCACCATGGTTACTCCGCAAATGGCAATTAAGGCCGACCCTACCAGGACCGCTCACAGTCATTAAAAATCTGTTATTTATCGAAACACAAAACCAAAACAACCCCCTCCATGTTTACGTATTTTCTACGTTTGTGTGTTTTTTCTTTCTCCCTAAATACAGTCTCACACACACACACACACACACACACACACACGCACACACACGCACACACGCGCACACACGCGCACACACGCACACACACACACAGGGTTTTGTTGGTTGGGTTTGTTCTACATCGAGAGGCAGCAGGGGAGGAGTGTTCCATGTTTGACACGGAGATGACTGCCCTCGGCACAGAAGGCGATGATGTAAGTCCGTTCCTCCTGTGCTGGGCAGCAGTCACTCCCAGGGGCCCAGCCTGTGCCCCTGAGCGCGTCCAGCTGGTCACGAGGCCCAACCCAGTGCCCACAACGGGCCTCGTGGCCAAGAACTGCTGGCCTCTAGGCGTCTAATGGGGCCGAGTGCAGGACATGAGGCACCAGGAGCTGCCCTCCCGGCCCCACGAAGGGACAGGCCTCAGCAAGGCCGTCCGGTCCTGGGAGCTCGCCATCCACGCACCCCCTTCCCTCGTCCTCCCAGCACCTGGCGGCTCACTGCTCGGTGGACTCCAGATTCGTGAGGGAGCTTCCCAGCCCCCTGCTGCTCGACACACAGGACTGGCCCCTCAAGTTACGTTTTCAAACATCCAATCAGTTACTTATTCAATGTTTCTTGGCCCTTCGAGAGCTCTGAACAATGACTCCCACTTAGAACATCCCCTCAGAACCCCCGGGACCTGATCCTAGGATTGGAAACAGTCCATGTGGTCTGCCTGTGCCCTGGCTGGGACCCGGCACCTCTGCCCCTTCCAGGGGAGCCGCCCGTTTCTCACCCGGAGGAAGGAGCCCGGCCTCAGAAGGCAGCTGGCTGGCGGCAGGTCCTGTCCTTGCTGCTGGGCCCAGGCTGTGGGCCCTGGGTCCCGCTGGCCCTGATACACACGCTGCGCCTCTACCTGAGCCACAGGATTTCTCAGCCAATGGGGGGACGATGTAGCGCCAAGATCCATCCAAAGTAAAAACACACGGGACCGAGTTGTTCGTCTTCACGGGCTGTTTGTACAGCTGGGTCATAGAGACCAGTCTGCAAAACCTAAACATGCAAACGGCCAAGAAGCTCCATGAGATACACTTCCCCAGAGGGTTAAGATTAATACATGAGAGTCCAGTCGGTCCGACGAGACCAGAACTGCCGGGGTTAGAGCTCTCGTCGTCCTGAGCCGGGTCTCGTCAGGATCCCAGGGTGATGGTTCCAGTCCTGGGGCCGGGGCCCGGGGCAGCGATTCGGACGTCAGGCGCTGCCGAGGTGCCCACGATGGAGACCTGCCGCCCGGCCTCATCCAGGGCAGGCCAGGCCTGTGTCTGCAGACGCCAGGCACACAGACCTCTCCGCTCCGCACAGCCACCTGGTCCGCAGGAATTCGCGCCCTTCTTACAGACAGTCAGGTGAGGGAGCAGACAGGGTGGAGTCCCCCAGGTGCCAGTCTGTGGGGCTTGCCTCACGCTGGGGGAGACCCTGTTGGGTTGTGAGGCCTCGCAGCCCCACCAGCAGCAGGGCCAGCAGCCTCTCGCCCCTCAGACGAGCTTCCCCACCACCCAGCCCTTCCTGCCTTTCTCCTCCCTCCCTGGGGCCCTGACTGCACTGGTTTCCACTTGAGGGAACTTTTTTTAAAGACAACCTTTCCTTCTGGCTTAAGGAAATTTTCCCTAAAATAAGCTGTTTTATCCAGCTATCTACATTCAGTCAGTGTTGGTACTTTTCACATCATAAGCTGATGGGCTATAAAATTCTGTGCTCTAGCAATTTAGAAAGGACTCAGCTCCGGATATAAACTGTGAAGACAAAGATTTACATAAATTACCATATTAATATACATATTTAAAGTTATCAGTTTATGAAGTACAGAAAGATAAGAAAATAATTTTAATTCTAGCAGAGCATCCATTTTTTCACGTTGCTTAACCCTTTGCGTGCCAACCAATATCCTAGGAACAATGCTAAAATTCCCAAGGCATTTTTGCTGATTTTACAGCAGTTTAGGAAAAAATTATGATAGCGCTCCCAGCACTTTTGGCGAAAGACAGGAGGAGCGCGATTGCGCTCCCCAGCACTCTAGGGGTTAACTATTTGATATGCAATCAGGGAGTGCTGGGCTGGGGGCCACAGCTACACTGTCCTTCACTCCTGAA